AACTCTTGGTCAACCACTGCAAATGATAATTCAGGGTTACGCTCTTTTTTAAGTCGGAACTGCATGTCATAGTCCCGCCAGCCTAAACCCATAATACGACTGGCACCTAACCGTATTGTGTGCATGTACTTGAGCAAAGATATCGCTGCATGGGGATGAGCGGATGCATAAATTGTAGAAAAGATAAGGAAAGCGTCAGTCCATACTTGTATGTCAGTAATGGGTTTTGCTTTAGGCTTACAGTACAGTCAACGCGGTTTAGGCATTTACCGCGCACCCCCGCGGTGTGAATCTCATCGCGGTTAGTACAGGTGTCTCAGGTAAAAACCGCGTGCCCCCGCGGTTCAGAAATCCAGGTAAATCACACCGTCGCGGTGCATCTTAGCGATTACAGGTGAAAAAACAGTCTTGGTCTAAAACGCGAGTTACCTCCCTTTGAAAATATCAACCAAAACAAAATAAAACGAAATTAATGACATTTTAAAATTTATAGAAGCTGAAATATTTGAAGTACAAAATAAAAATTAATTTTTCAAAAAAATACACCCTCATTTATCTAAATAAATTATAAAAATCATCAAAGCAATTTTCAAACAGGGATTACTAATTCTTGAATTACTTTTTTAAAATGTGTTCATTCTATTTAGATCCACAACTTTCGATATAAATTACTGTTTGTGATATATTTATACGACAATGCAAGATAAAACACCCCGAGTGTTATTCATGATATTCAATATTAATTTTTATTTTTCGTAGCGTTTTTTTTTTTATTTTAATAGTGGGTTGATTAAAGAAACGCGCGCGATTCATCGCAGTGTCACGTTCATTGGGGCTATAAATGATTAAAGTGTTTTAAAATTATTAATCTTCAAATATAAGAGTATAATACGCAGAAGATTTTTATGTAATCAGCTTTCTCCGAGTCGTCTGTAAAGACTAGTGTCATTCCTTTATTCTGGGGCAATGTTCTTGAAATCAGTAGCGTGTGTATGCCTGTGTAATTTGATGACCTACCAATCCGTCGAAGATAAAATAAAATTACATAATGTCTAGAGCTAGACCTGGTACGCATACTTGGTCCTCACAGCTGTACACTGGACAAGGTGCGATCCCCTGCACCAGCCCTACCCCTGGTGTACACGTGCGTGCCCGAAAACGTGTCAGTAAATTTCATCTGTCATACCTGTTTAACATACTTCACAATGACATTTACATTGATCATATAATTTAAAACATATTTGAATTAATTATTTAAATTTAAGATATGCAGATTACCATGATTTCTTTCGTGTAAAAAGTTTTGATGTAACAATCGCCTCCCTTCTCCCTTTATTTACTGGGACACTTAATGTGTCTTACACAAAACTCAGCACAATCACAACTTTGGATGGAGGGTTATTTCCCCAATATCAGTAGATGAATTGATTTAGAAAATAGCTAAGTTGATTTAGAAAATAATGTATTCATGTATGAAAATTCAACTGAAACAGTGCAAAAAAAAAAAAAACTACCAAGCTTTTTCCTGCAAAATTCTATTAAGGACTATTTACGTCGCGTAAACAAAAAATTACTGAAAAAGAAATTCATTAACATCACAAACAATATCGGAACATCATTCTATGTGCATTTTGCATTGGTTAATAATTTTTTGTCCTCGATCAATCTAGTACATGTATACAAAGTGTACAAGTAGCTGCACGGACTAATCGTGGTCTCCTTAGTAACTGGTGGATTCCTGTGTATTGTGCGCATTCAAGCGGAGAGTGATTTCCTGTCTCACAGTGATACTGTACTGGGTATAATTTCACACCTTTGTGAAAGACAAAGGATTTGGTTTTTCGCAACATTTTGACAGTTTTAAAATATAAACTCATAAACCGGGTGGATTATCATGATTATAATCCCCCCCCCCCCCCCCGGATTCCCCTACTGCCGTCTGCATGAACTTCATATTTTTTTTTAAACATAAGGTTATATGTTTCAATAACAATTACATTTGGATTCACAAAAAAAAGACTGATCTTAATGACTTTCCCTGTATATGCTTGGTCTTCTAAAAATACCAAAAATAGGAATATTAACGCTGTCCTATATGCACTGTGTATATGTCCCTCAAAAATTACGAGAAGCTACATGTACATCTATTTCATTGCGTCTAGTTAATCCCATACGTTGACTGGGGTGGCTATAGAGGTATACATGTAAATAGTAGAAATAATATTAATTCTTTTACATATGTATGCATGTATAACAAAAGGACGATATATCAATTCATTATGCACAACGGTATGCACAACAAAGCACCCCGTTTCATCTGTATACTATTATTATGCGGAATTTTTTTTTAAAGTTTTCTCTTATTTCATTTGCACATTAAGAGTTCATTAAGTAACACTTTAAACTGCATACAAATATTTCTACTACTCAGTGTTTTCAGTTAACACGCTTTTCTCATGAACATTGTTCGTACTTACAAGTATGCTTTCAAGCGGAAATGCGCTGCAGTTTAAAGTGAATTTTGCCGATTTAAAAAAAAAAAAAACACAAATAATAATACGAGAGAGAGAGAGATTTACTGCACATTGCCTATAAACATGTTTCAGAATATCTAGATCTTCCATTCATCGAATATTTATCGAAACATGTATGCGTTTCATTGTAAAGGTGATACCCGGTATATAGTCATTGATTTAGAGAAATAAAGTTTATAATGCTTATGCTGAGGATATGATTTTTTTTAAACATGTTTTAAAAACTTACAATTATCAAACATCAGAATAACTTGGGAAAACAATCATGTGCTATTTTTTTTTTAATTCTTTGGGTAGTACAGTATCACTTTATGATATTTTCAATAGCACCATTTTTTTACTCAAAACCTGCAATTTTATAGACCGAACAATATGTAGTTATAGATATTATACGGCCGTACAGGTAAGATAAATCCGATAAGCCAGTCAACGGTAAGACACACCGCCGCGGTCTATACCTGGCTACAGGTAGGACCGCGATGAAATAACCGCGGGGGTGTATCGCGGAAAGGATCAAAACACCGCGGGGGGAGCGCGGTTTAATGCCTAATCCGCGTTGACCGTACTGTAGTAGTGACTGCAAGTTTCCCGTCTTTTAGAGATAAATATTTGGTGTCATGATCCGGGTCAGTTTCTGGGGCATTATTAAGCAGAATACCTAAATTAATGTACTCCCCATTAGCAATCTTAATTTTTACATTGTTTGGTACATTATGTCCCAACTCATTGTCATACCTGGGCACAACTGCCTTATATGCACTAGAAATAATTGTATCTTCTGATGTTTCATCCAAAATTGGGGAGGATGCTGGTTCTACTGCATCCCTCTGTGATTCCTTTATCAAAGCTGCTACGCTTTCAGTGACCTGTCTCAGCTAGTCTGTTGTCAACACAGCTGGTTGGGGAGATGCTTGCAGGCTGCTAACCGGTAGTTGAGCATGGTCATGTGCTGGAGGATCCAACAACAATGAGGGGACAGCCGTTGCAGCAGCATTCGCCGATCGAGAGCCCCGTCCTCTCCTTTGACCTTTTCTTGGTGTGGGCTGACTATTGCCATCTGCTTTGCGCTTCGGCATTCTGTCTATCTGTTGACTTGGCTTTGAAAGTTTCAGCGTCGACTGATGACACAATGTGCTATGACGTCAAATGCTCTATTTAGGTAACACTAATAACCCCGGGAAAGAGTGGAAAAAAACCGTACGGGTTGGCTAAAAATGCTGACGGCCGAACCCGATCAAAATAAAGAATAAAGTGCATGTATTTCCCTTTGATAAATGGCTTTAACCTTAACTGGTTAAATCCCATAAATACTATGTAAATAATTATCAACAATCATTAATGAATACCCGTTGCATGAAATAGAGGACTTCTTTCCTAATATTTTAAAGAAAAATAGGTGAATTAAATCTTTTTTCACATTGTTAATTTTAAAATTCAGCTATTTCAATCTTTTCCCCTTATTAATGTATTTATTTTATGTTATATCTAGGATCAAGATATGAAAGTGATTATTCTTATAAGACTTTTTTTTTGTTGTTATTTTCTCAAATCCACAAATTTATTAATAAATGAAATATTTAATATTTTTTCATAGATTTATTCGTCATTTTCTGTCTTAAAATTTACAAAATACAGATAACTGTAAAAGGGGATAAATTAAGTCTTATTACTATTAAACAAATTAACTATCTAAACAACTATTGTTATTTGCAAATGGGAATAGGTGGAGTTGAAATTTTTGAAAAGCGGGAATAGGTAGAATTAAGACAACCGTTTGTATTTATAACAACAGAGAAAAGTAGCAGTTGGGACTAGACACTTTATAACAGCAATAAACAGAATAATGATCCTTGATGAAGTCTCTTTTTGTGGCAAGATTGCAATAAGACTGCAACTGTAGGATTGCTTTTAATAAAATTTAAAGAATGCACATCGTGCATCAAAATAAAAAAAAATAAGACGATTATGCAGCACAGTGTAGACTACCTACATGCCGCATTACATTATATAATTAGACTAAAACTGTTTCTCCAGTAGCAGTTTGAAAGAATTTCACAGAAACTACTATTTTAAGTAACCATGGCAACACTTTTCATCGAAATCAAAACAGAAATACATAATTATGAATCATATCGCAGTATACGTGTTTTCCAAGAATTTTTTTTTAATCAGACCAAAAATTGCGAGGGGAGAAGCATTTCGAGAAATTTTTTACACACAAACAAGGAGACGGACGACGGATACACTACTACCGCATAAGCTCTTCTGGTCTCTGATCAAGAGAGCTAAAAATGTTTTCACATACAACTGTAGCATCACATCCAATTACAAGGATTCAATTAGTATACTGAACTATAAATCATAATAATCAATAATTTAATATTAATGCTTACAAAGTTTTTTGTTAAATTCTGTTAAAAATGTTAAATGTTAAAAAAGATTAAATTGTCAATAATGATTTTTTACCCTTTTCAATTGGTATCCTTGGATATCTGTAGCAAAACTCCAACAGCTCTGTAATGTTTTCGTTGGGTATACACATGTATCCATTATTCTCTGTACAGTTTAGGTCAGGTGACCTACTTCTCCATTCTGATTGGTCCCTGGGACATGACGTTGTGTTGTACACGGGGAATGAATAGCCTTCCAGCTTATCCTTTGAAGAAGATATGAAATTTGTATATTTATACACATTTTTCCAATCTATTAGTTTATTACATCATCAATTTTTAGAGCAAATATCACATGTTCGTAGTTGTCAAACTCGGCCATTTTTCCATGACTTTAAACTCACTAACACATATTATACTTCACTTTTCTTTAATTATCCATTCAGAATTCTTTGTTTTTAAGATCAAGATTAAACTTTCTAAGGGGGAATTCTTCAAAATCATATGTCAGTTTTGAATATTTTTAATATTCAAAACAACCAAAAATTTCTATTACTAGAACTACCCGGTATATTGGATTCCAGAATTTCATAAAAACCCTTACAAAGACACAAGGGTTGTCCGTAAAGTTCGTGGACAATATTAGTTATCCAGGTTCAATCAAGGGTGTACGGGGATTTACCCCGGGTTGTATTCCATACACCCTGAGGCTGAACGGTGTATGGAATACAACCCGGGGTAAATCCTCGTATATCCTTGATTGTGCGGCCTCAGGGTGTATGGAATACAACCCGGGGTAAATCCCCGTACACCATTGATTGAACCTGGATAACGAATTTATTTACTTTGTATCCATGAAAATGCTTTGTTAACATACAGAGTGTATATCTCAATCTATCAATAAGATTTACCATAGAGAATGTATGCATTGAGACGTCACGTTTTATTTACACCCGCGCGGCTCAAGTCGGGTGCACGGATATTTACACCCGACTTTGTAACCAATCAAAGCTCCTGTTACAAGCTAGATAGAAAATAATATTGATAATCACTGTCAAAAATTGATAAATTATATGAAACTATTTTTTTTTTTTCATTTAATTCAGCCCGGTGGGATCCGGGTTAGAATAGGTCCTCAGTACCCCCTTGCTTGTCGTAAAGGGCGACTAAATGGGGCGGCCCTTCGGATGAGACCGTATAAATCGAGGCCCCATGTCACAGCTGGTGTGGCACGATAAATATATATTATTATAACAGTAACTTGATCCGAAGGGTCGTATCACGTCTCGTTGACAGGCGCGGATCATCAGATCTAACGAGACGCGAAGCGTCGAGTTTGATCTGATGATCCGCGCCTGTCAACGAGACGTGATACGGCTCTTCGGATCAAGTTACTGTTATAATGATAAATTTATTATATACCCCCCTTATAACTGGCTAAATATATTAAAATAAACCTTTAGAGATCAATTGTATAATTTTAATCCATTAAACAAAGCATAATTACAAGGGACTTTGTAACGCGCAAGAAAAATAACGTCAAATTTCTGTGTACTACGTCATCAGTTTCAGAGAGTGGTGATATGGATTCAGAAAACAACATGTTGGTGATCTGGAAAGTCGGATCACGACGTCACGTGATTGCGTTAAATCTACAGTAAAATTGAGTGATACACATAAGGTATATAATAAAGATCCCTCCCTACTCAAAGGCCCTAAGTGCCGAGCATAGGCCTAAATTTGCAGCCCTTCACCGGCAATGGTGACGTCTCCATATCAGTGAAATATTCTGGAGAGGGACGTTAAACAGTATACAATCAATTAATTAATTCATGTTTCATTTTATTAATAAGTAAAGTACAAATTAATATACTTTTATCAGATTCAAAAAAGACACATACTCATACCCGGAGCACTTCAACGTAAGTCCTTGACGTCATCCGACGTCAAAGCCTAATACATGTTACTTTTCTCAACATAGTCACCGTGCAAGTCTATACATTTTTTATATGTCGCATTAAACTGTCATGAAAAAGCTATGTTCACAAACTGTTCAGGTTTCAAACGAAAAAATAATATTAAAACTTCCTGACACTGATCTCACAAATCATCAAATCTTTGTCCGGGTAAAAATGACTTTATTTACTTAAATACCTTATATTCACATTACAAAATTCATTTTTACAGCACAGCAATCTCGGAATGGTGGTCTTCATTAATGCATGCAACCCTTTAAAATGTTCCTACCATCCGAAATTTTCATATTCAACTTTATTAAGGAACGGCTTCATTTACAATATTTTTACAGCATTTATAGATCTCTGTATTTTTTCGATGTCTACGCAAAATTGTATCACTGCTCTCTGCTCCACCTTTTCTGAAAACGTCTCTTTTTCGAACAATTTCTATAATGTCTTTAAAGATTCTAACCTCGATTTCTCAGCCATTTCGAAACACTAAATGTTCACTTTTCGCAGATTTAAAGTAATATAACTTTTGTAAAACTTAATATTTAAAAGCCATAAAAAAATTCTGTTGAATTTAAAAAAAATACAAATACAGCGATATATATAACCTTTTCATTAAAATTTTGCTGTGCTCCGGATCACCATCCCAAGTCTATCAATCAAGCCATAATTGTAATTACACATCTAAAATTGAACATCATTTTACATTTTGTCATTCATATTTCTTAAAGGGTTATAACGACGTGATAATACAGTTCAATGACACAACTTTTATTCAAATTTTAGCTTGTCCACGAACTTTATGAATAACCCTTGTACATAGCGTTTCACAATCGATAAACTAGGTTTATCGCTTGTAAACTATAGTTTAAGGACTGTAAACTATAGTTAACAACGTTAATCTATATTTTACATCTGTAAACCATAGTTAACGCGATAATCTATGTTTCACAACCGTAAACTATACTTAACACTAAAAACAATCATTTGCGATTGCAAAACATAGATTATCTGATAATACAGTTTCACGATTTGTAAACTATGGTTTATAACTCTTAACTATATAGTTAACGATCGTAAACTATATATAGTTTACAGACCTGAATCTATGTTTATCAACAAATTCTATTGCTAACGTTTTATTACAGACAGATAAACTTAGATCAGCATTCGTAAACTGTAGTTAACAACCGTTAAATATAGATTTACAGATTAAAACTATACTTAACAAATCGTTAACTATAGTTAACGATTTTGTAAACTATAGTTTACAGTCGATAAACCTAGTTTATCAATTGTGAAACTAAGTTTAGCTCATTTTTGTGAATTTGGCGTGCCATACATACGTCCTTCAATCGATTCACCGTTTACTGTGCACACCCTTACAGAAAAAACTAATAGAAACTTATAAGTGTTTTATAATCCACTTATAAGCAATTTATAAGTCACTTATAAATTTTGAAATTTACTTATAAGTGTACTATAAGTCAAAGTAAGTATAAGTGGGGAACAGATTTTGTTAATACTTCACTTATAAGTAAAGATGGGCTACATATCAATGAATATTTCACTTATACCTCACTTATAAGTGAAGATTAGTATGGTATGAGTGAGTATAAGTGTGGACTTAGAATTTTTACCCTATACTAGACTTCTCTCAAGGAGCACTATGGGTATTCAAGGTAGCCAATCAGAAAGTCTGTCTCTCCAGAGATCAGCAACAAGAATTTGAAACCAAGTTTGTGTCTGTGAAAGGATGTTGGAGATTTTAGATTTATTTTGAGTATACCTTCACATCAGGTACAACAAGTAGGTTCTATTTACATCATCTCTCTATTTTAACTTCCTTTGCCTGAAATTTTGAATCAATTGACTCAGTTGCTTTCAGATTTCATAAATTTGAAGAAGCCTCAAGGTCATTTAATCTGTTGCCTTTTTGTTTAACATTTTTGTTTGTAAACTGAATTAATATGTTAAGTTTGCATCATCAAAGAAATGTCATATAAAAGGGATTTTTTATTCATACAATTTTTACTTGATTATTTCATCTAAAGTGCAGATTCATGTTTATATCTAAAAGATAGCTTTGAACATATCATGCAACCCCTGCATGGTTGGAAGTTCTGTTCTAAATTAAGATCTTATAGGTAGTGTTGTACTTTACTTATAAGTGACTTATAGATGACTTATAGATGACTAATACTTGATAAAGTATGAAGGGTTAATGCTTGACTTATAAGTCACTTATAGTCACTTATAAGTCACTTATAGTCACTTATAAGTGACTATACTTGCATAAAGCATAAGTGGCTAATACAGGCTTATAAGTCACTTATAGTCACCTATAGGTCAAGCAGCTCATTTGCATATAAAATCCTAATGAGTAACTTATTAGTCACTTATAAGTTAAATGTATCAGTGAAGTGTAAGTCCAGAATAAACAACTTATAAGTAAAAGAATAAAGCACTTATAAGTCACTTATCAGAAATTTCTGTAAGGGCAGATAAAGAGAATTAGACGTGACATTAGCCATTGATCGCGTCTTGTCGATATTAGCTGTTTTTAAAAATAGCTACATTTATGTACATTTACAAAATAATAAAAGGGCTTGAGACACTTAATCATAATATGAATGTAAATCTGTAGAATTAGTAAAATAAACAAAGAGAGAGAGAGAGAGAGAGTGAGTCCGAACCGTGGCTTGAGACGATAATGTTCAGTGAAACGCCAAGAAATTAGATAAATTTTTCTAGACGTTTACTAGTTCTTTACTCTAGTCTACACGACAGCCAGAGATGTCCACAGCAACATCAGTCATGGACCTCATCTCCAATATGTCTGGTAACGGCAGCTCACCATTGGACATCCCACCCTCTGATTCTATTCACATTGTGCCGGTCATTTGGACGATTCTGATCATAGTTGGGGCAGTGGGAAACGGTTTGGTTCTCTATATTGTGTTTAGATATGGTGAACGATCCGTGACAAATATTTACATTATTAATCTAGCGTTGGCGGATCTAGCATTTCTTCTGATCGTCGTGCCTATAACTGCTGTCAGCTTTGTGATGCCTACCTGGGGATTTGGGGATGGAATGTGCAAGTTCTTCACATATACGATCTACGTAAGTTTCTTTTGTTTTAATTGTTCATATTATAATAAGAACACGTCGGATTCCCACTACCAACCTTGCATATGCTTTTTGATAAGCGTATGTGAGATTAGCTGTAGGTTTCTGACAATGCCGAGAATAGAGAATGCCCATAAGGATGGCTGGAATAACAATTCAAAATAAATGAGTTTAAACAAACCTAACATAAGTCTACATTACCAATGAAGTACAGATATTAATTAACACGCTCATAGTGAATACGCTAAATGATGAAATGACGCTTATCTTTAACAATTACTTTTTACGTCCTATTTCACCAAACTACTGTATATCATTTTATCCTGCAAAAAGAGCAGTATCGCAATTACTGTGAAATGGTTTACAGTGGTTTAATATAGCTTGTCGTTTTCATGTGACGTCTACAGTTTAACTGTACCAATTTATCAGCTAAGCCGAAATTTTGCCGTAAAGTTTCAACTTAACACATTATACTTATAGATAATTTTGTTAAAGTAATAACATTGCAAAAAAATTTAAGTAATCATGATAGAAACTTACACATTCCACCACCCAGTGTGCCAGTGTTGTCATCAAAATCCAGAAATAAACATTTCTTCTGCTACTTTCCATTGACATGGTTGGAAGTTGTCAAGTCTACTGTTCCTGAACACATTTCTTTGCCACTAGAAGACTTTAAAAAGCTATCTTTAAAAATAATCGGACCTTTACACATTAAATCTAATATGGCGGATTCACCAGCATATTCTAAAGTGCACACGTGTATGGCACGCCAAATTCACAAAAATTCTATTGCTAACGTTTTATTACAGACAGATAAACTTAGATCAGCATTCGTAAACTGTAGTTAACAACCGTTAAATATAGATTTACAGATTAAAACTATACTTAACAAATCGTTAACTATAGTTAACGATTTTGTAAACTATAGTTTACAGTCGATAAACCTAGTTTATCAATTGTGAAACTAAGTTTAGCTCATTTTTGTGAATTTGGCGTGCCATACATACGTCCTTCAATCGATTCACCGTTTACTGTGCACAGATAAAGAGAATTAGACGTGACATTAGCCATGCGCATTGATCGCGTTTTGTCGATATTAGCTGTTTTTAAAAATAGCTACTTTTATGTACATTTACAAAATAATAAAAGGGCTTGAGACACTTAATCATAATATGAATGTAAATCTGTAGAATTAGTAAAATAAACAAAGAGAGAGAGTGACTCCGAACCGTGGCTTGAGACGATAATGTTCAGTAAAACGCCAAGAAATTAGATAAATTTTTCTAGACGTTTACTAGTTCTTTACTCTAATCTACTTAGTTATATGATTTCTCAACTGCTTTTATCAAAGATGATCTACTAGAAATCATCTTACAAAACTGATTTCATTAGACTTACATGTAGATTACTTGACTATAATTTGACAGATGCAACAGACCCACCTTGAACAGTATAGAAACTCCATCGCTGTATAATTTAAACCAATAGGACAACAGGTTCGTTGAACGAGGGGGCAACATTATACATTTATTGACCAAATTCGAGGGTAGCATGCGTTTTGTCATACCCAAGAACCAAACTGACTGCCAAACGGCTGTTAGGCTGAAGGCAGACAGTTTGGTTCGAGGGTCGACAAAACGCTTTTTGTCCGAGAACATAGTCAATAAATGTTTTGTTATACCCTTCATTTTAATTTTTTGTTATTCTTTCGTGATATCATCTAGGGTCCGTCACTTTTAAACACCAACGAATGAAAATGAGATTAAGCTCCGCCCATTCTGTGACGTAAGCGGTCCAACATCTCATCGACCGGTCCAATATCTCACTCAGCAGTCCAACATCGATTTTTTATGCCCGCTCAGCAAAACATTACAATTGTTAGGCTTTTCGTATTGATTTATATAGGGACAAATCTTTAAAGGTAGTTACAATGCACTTAGTTTCTGAGTATAGTCAATTACTGGTTCCCCCCACCACCACCGCCACAGTAAATATTGCTGCAAGGTCGATTACTGGAAAATTCAAAGATTTGGGGTGTGGGTTCTTTAAATTTTAATTTTGCTTGCAAGATGGTTCTGGGAAATTGCTCCCTACAGCTAATTTTTGGTCAGATAAGGGTTAACGGGTTTCCGGGGAAACCGTTGCTGCAGGCTTGGGACAGTTGGTATCTCTCTTGTTATTGAAACGATGTAAATACTATATAGCTGTGTAAATTATACAATAAACATGAGGCGGCTTTCAGCCAAGGATACCCTGTGACAAATTTGACAATGATTGGCCAAGGGGTTCTTGAGTTATGGCCCATATTCCAGAAAGTTAGCGCACATCTCACATATGGCCATAGCATTTATAGCTCTTTGAAGCTTTGGCTCAGAAGAGCTAAAAATGCGTATTTTTTCCTTCATTTAACAATTTTCCAAAGGTCACCATATTTCTTACAGCTACTGTAAAGATGAAACTTTTAAAATACAATATTTTTCTAATTTCTTCTTTAAGTACAATGCAATTTTCATTTTCATGTAAAGGTGCATTGACAAAACTTGAAGATTCTACCATGGGCTAACAGTCTTTTAGTTAAGTTCATATAGTTTTAGACGGGATTTTGATGGTCTATCATATTTAAATGTACGACACAATTTCTGTTCACGATGTATCCACTGAGAAAATTTGATACCGGGGTAATTCTATGCCTCATATTATTATGTAATATTTTAATAAGGAGCCTAGCTGACATGAAAAAGCTAACGGACAGATATATGGACAGAAATGAATCCAAACCATAATACATCTCATCTTCACACAGGTGTATCTATTAAAACAAATACAGGTTAAAAGTTACAGTAATAAAATGATAAATTAAAGTCCTAGGAAGACCATGATTCTATAATACATTGGCCAATATGTGTTCCTGTATTTTAGCATCAGGAGAAGAGAGCTTGACTAAATGGCAGTAAAGGAAGTCAATTTTATAGCACAAGCATAAAAACATTTTAATATATAATATTATATTGATTTCATTTTTAATTGTATATCATCGTTTTACATTGGTGTATTAATCTGCCTTTTTACTATTCTAAACATAGGTAATCAAAGATTATGAAGCTCACCTCAATGAATGTTAACAGTTTAAGTAATGCAAATCTCACATCATATTTTCTTAAGACGGTATTTAGTATTCATCCCAACAACAATATTCTTGCAAGTTGTATTTAACCCCTTACATGGCATATACACATTTCTACGCGTGTTGCATGAAAAACATGTATAATGTAAACAAATATTCATAACTTTGTTAATACTGCAGATATCAAAGACTTCAAGTTCATTCGGATTGATCTGTTCCCAAAACTTTAACCTGGTCTCTTGTATGGAAAATATAGGTCAGATCCAGAATCCAAAGCAAGCCTGATAGTGTCCATCCCTAGATGCATCATCCATGCAAGTTTGGTTCAGGTATAACTTACAGTTACTTGGGAATGAAAATGTAGGTCAGATCCCGCATCTGAAGCAAGTCTGGTAGTGTCCATCCCTAGATACATCATCCATGCAAGTTTGGTTTAGCTAGGGTTTTTTA